ATATCTCACAAATACTATAAAAAAAACCTTCCTAATACACACCACTAACTTAGACAATAAATCAAAACACATAGAGTTCCCTACCTATTATGTAAAAAAAAAGAAGGGCCTTAAAATAAAAAAAATATGGTAATATGCCAAGTAGTTTATAGAAAATGTGTTAGGAAGACTAGACTTAAATACGACAAAACGCAATGAATTCCCTACCTATTCTGTAAAAAAAAAAAAAGGAAGAACCTAACAACACACAAAATGGTAATTCAATATGTAAACCATGTAGTTTATAAAAAAAAAAAAAAAGTTTTAGGAAGACATAGACGTAGAAAAAGTATTGAAGGTGAGTAAGATAGGCTTCGCTGTGCTAAAGGTTTTACAGGAAATAACAAGGATGTCGCAACCACAAGGATATCGTGTTGGCTTTGTTTTTCCATCCTTCATTTTGTTATGTTGTTATTTTAAGTGTTGTTGATTTATGCTTACTTGGTGTTCTAGTGGGTATTTTTATATTATATTATTTATTATTATTATTGCTATTATTATTATTATTATTATTATTATATTATTATTATTATATTATTATTATTATTATTATTATTATTATTATTATTATGATTATTATTGTTGTTGTTGTTGTTATTATCACCATCATTATAATTATTGTTATTATCATCATTATTGCTATTGTTATTATCATTACTATTAATGTTATTATGATTATTTTCATTATTACTGTCCATTATTATAGTAGTATTTATCATTGTTTTATTAGCATTGTTATTATTATTTTCATTACAATTATCATTATTATTATTGCGATTGTTTTTTATGTTATTTAATAAATGTTGTTATCCTTATAACTTTTGTGGTTTTGTTATCATGCTTACTATTATTCTTATAATTATCACCATCCTCATTAAAATAATCATCGTTATTATTCTATTGTTTTGTTTCTTGTTTTCTTGTTTGTGAAGTGCGGTGAAGTACAAGCACATCTCCAGGATATGTCACAGTACGTAGCACACCCACACAATGTACGTTTATTACATGAATATTCTTCTTTACGTTTATTACATGAATATTCTTCTCTCGTTCTCGTCTCCTCCTACATATGAAATGTGTCCAATATATTAATTCGGACTCACACGTACATGTATGCATACAGAGATATACATAGATGCACATACACACAGACGCACATACACACACACACACATTACACACTATCAGACACACACACACACACACACACACACAACACACACACAACACACACACACACACACACACACACACACACACACACACACACACACACACACACACACACAACAACACACACACACACACACACAAACACCCCCTTCCCACAGATACATACACAATCACACACATTTACACTCAAAGAAACACACAAATTTCTATCAGTTTCTGTCAGTCTATTAATCAACCTATATCTATTTACCTATCTATCTATCTATCTATCTATCTATCTATCTATCTATCTATCTATCTATCTATCTATCTATCTATCTATCTATCCTATCTATCTATCTATCTATCTATCTATCTATCTCTATCTATCTATCTATCTATCTATCTATCTATCTATCTATCTATCCATCTATCTATTTCTATCTATCTATCTATCTATCTATCTATCTATCTATCTATCTATCTATCTATCTATCTATCTATCTATCTATCTATCTATCTATCTATCTATCTATCCATCCATCCATCTATCTATCTATCTATCTATCTATCTATCTATCTATCTATCCATCCATCTAATTATCCATCTATCTATCCATCTATCTATCTATCTATCTATCTATCTATCTATCTATCTATCTATCTATCTATCTATCCATCTCTATCTCTCCATCCATCTATCTATCTATCTATCCATCTATCCTATCTATCTATCTATTATCTATATCTATCTAATCTATCTATCCATCATCCATCTTATCTATTATCTATCTATCTATCTATCTATCTATCTATCTATCTATCTATCTAATTATCTATCTATCTATCTATCTATCTATCTATCTATCTCTATCTATCTATCTATCTATCTATCTATCTATCTATCTATCTATCTACTATCTATCTATCATCCATCCATCATCTATCCATCTATCTATCCTATCTATCTATCTATCTATGTCCATCTTCCATCCATCCATCATCATCCATCCATCCATCCTATCTATCCATCTATCCACATCACTTTCAAAGAAACTTTACAAGACACACACACACCGCTTACTAACCCAGGTAGGTTCAACCTCAAGGAGAACCTTGAGCTGAACCTTTCACCTTCAGAGCCAAGGGAAGCGGAGCATCTCATCCGTTATTGTCTCGACCTGGCTTGGCTTGGGCTTGGGCTTTCGACGTGGCTTGGCTTGGTGTGGCTTGGCTTGATGTGGCTGTGGATCAACGTGGTTTGGCTTGGTGTGGTTTTGGATTGACTTGGCTTGGCTTGATGTGGCTT